GCTTTCACGGCCTGCAGCTCTCCTCACCCCTGGAGCTCCAGTCCAACCGCCCCCCCCCTCCTCCATACTCGGGCCTCAGGGAACTGTTTATCCTGCCGTGGCCGTGGCCGTGGCCGCAGGATCCGGGCCTAAATCACTCACCCCAAAGGGATCCGCCCTCTTCCCGGAGCGTCTCCCCGTGGCCTCAGCTCCCCAAGTGGGGGCTCCTTTGGCTTCGAGAAAGATGGTGCAGCGCCTCCTCCGCACCCTCAATACTGGACCCAGCGATAGGGCCACCAGATTTGCACAAGCCTCCGCGTGGTACCCGGAGAGGGAGCCCCCGCTCTCAACTGCGCTCCCCACACGGGAGGGGGAGGGGTGTGGCCCGGAACGAGGAGCAACTCCCCTCCCCCATCCTCTCCGGGAAACCGTCCGGGGTCCGCGGCCTTCCCCTCTCTCCCGGCCGGAGCCGCCATTTGGCCTCGGGGGCAATGATGGAGGCTGCTCACCCACCATAAAATGGGGCACTTGTAGCATCTGCGGCGGGGGCGGGGGGGACAGCGGCTAGGAAATGTCCCCACAGAAGCACCTGCGGTCTTCTCCGCCGCCTCCCGCGTCCTGCCCAGGCCCCCGAGGCGTAAGGAGACCCCGGGCGCGCAGGGGAGGGCGCCAGCATCCGCTCCCCTCTTGCACTCTGGCGGAGACCCCCCTCAAAGCCGTCCCGGCTCCCTCCACACTGCCCTAGCCGACCGCGTGAGGGCGTGCCCTGTGTTAGTTCGGACAAATTAAAGCACGTCTAGCGGGCAAGCCAGGGACCCCCGGACGCGGTCTGGGCCTGGGGGCCCGTGGACCACTCTTGGCTGACTGCCGCCGAGCTCCGGGCCGCGGGACCTCCCCGGGGGCCCGCGCTATTCGGCCCTAAACGGGGTGCCCCCCTCCTCTCGCGCTCCCGCAGCCTAGGGTGCGCCCCTCCGTTCCCCTCTGCCGAGCCCTCCCTGGGCGCGGGCCGCCTCTCCGCCACGCCGCAGGCTCGGGCCCCGTCCGGGGCGCACGGCGGAGAGCGCGGCGGCGCCGGGGAGGCGCGGTCTGGGAAGCCAGCGGCCGGGGAAGGGGCTCCAAGAAGCACAAGTTGGCGCTGGCCCCGGACCAGGCTGTTGTTGTTCTCAACGTGGTCCGCCGTAGAGCCATAAAAGCGGAGCGAGGCGCCCTCCTCGCCAGAGCGCACCGCGCACGCCCAACGAGCTCCGGCGGAGGCGGCGACGCTCGCGAGGCCGACTAAACCCGCTCCGAGACGGTCCCCGCTCCGGCCCCCTCGCGTCGGACTCCTGCGCTCCGGCCGACCCCGCGCCGGCCCCGGCTCGGGACCCCCGCTCCGGCCGGCCCGGCCCCCACCCCAGCCCTGCCGCCCGGCCCCAGGCACGGCCGCGGCCGCTCCCGCCTGGAGCCGCCGCGCGCCCCCAGCCCCCCGGCGCCCTCGCGGCCCCTCGCCTTTCTCTTCCCGGCGCGGCCCCCGGGCTTCCGCGCCCCGCCCGCCACCAACCCGCTCGCCACCATGTCTGTGGAGCTGGAGGAGGCCCTGCCGCTAACGACCGCCGAGGGGGCGGCCAAGAAGGCGGCCAAGGCCAGTGGCGCGGCCTCGCTGTCCCCGTCCAAAAAGAGGAAGAATAGTAAGAAGAAGAACCAACCCGGAAAATACAGCCAGCTGGTGGTGGAGACCATCCGCCGACTGGGTGAGCGCAACGGCTCGTCGCTGGCCAAGATCTACGCGGAGGCCAAGAAGGTGGCATGGTTCGACCAGCAAAACGGGCGCACCTACCTCAAGTACTCCATCAAGGCTCTGGTGCAGAACGACACGCTGCTGCAGGTGAAGGGCACCGGCGCCAACGGCTCCTTCAAGCTCAACCGCAAGAAGCTGGAGGGCGGCGGGGAGCGGCGCGGAGCCCCGGCGCCCGCCTCCGCCCCGGCGCCTGCTGCGCATAAGGCCAAGAAGGCGGCCCCGAGCGCGGCCCCTGCGCGGCGCGCGGACAAGAAGCCCGCCAAGGGCCCGCAGCCCGAGAAGCGCTCGCACAAGAAGGGTGCCGCCTCCAAGAAGGACAAAGGCAGCAAGGCCACGAAGGTGGCGGCCGCGGGCGGCAAGAAGGTGAAGAAGGCGGCCAAGCCCAGCGTGCCCAAAGTGCCCAAGGGCCGCAAGTGAGCGCGGCGCTCCGGCGCCCGCCTTTCCACCCCGACTGCACGCAGGTTTTGCGCGGGGCACCGGCCTGGGCCGCCGCGCGCGCTCCGACTTCAGGGCACTCGGGCCCGCGCCGGCCTGCCCATCCCCCGCGTGGGAGCGGTTTTTTGTTTGCTTTAGATTTTTAAAACGGCCCTGGCCATGCCCCTATTGGCTCTCGCCCTTGGCAACGGGTGTCGCCTTGGTTACCGGGCCCCGAAGGCCGCGCCGCGCCGCGCCTGCGCGCGAGGACGCGAAGGCCGCTCAGTCCTTCCCGCCCCCGCCCTGCCTATTTCCGGGCGCGCGCCGAGCAATCGCGCGGGGCGCGGGGCCGCGCGGCGCTCTTTTTCCTCGTCGCCGTTTTTGGGGCACAATAAATTGTTTAAACGTTTGAGCCGCTCTTGTTTTCTTCCGAGTGGAGTAGGGTTGGGCGCGGCCGCCTCGGGGCTTGGGCTGGATGGGGGCGAGTCACCAGCACCCCGGATCCGTTAGAGGTGCAGGCCCGGAGCCCGGCACGAGCGGGGGCCGGTTGGTCCCCGAAGGAGGTGCGGAGTTTACCTTGGTAGTTGGGCAGCTGTGTCCACCGCCTGGGGGGTGGAGGAGCGGGGGCTTTGAGGGGGTCTGCGGGTTAGAGACCTTCACGTCTCACAAGGTTACCGCACGCTGCGCCTTCACAGAGCTTACTGACTGCGAATACAGTGAGGCTTCGTGTACTGTGACAGGGACAGTGCAGCCGGGTTTTGGTTCACTCACCACTAACAGGTGTGGTCTGAGCAAGGCTCTGATCCTCCTGGAGCTTGTAAGTTACTCTGGAGTGCACAGGGGACCCAGGGTTACAGACAAATTGGCAGGAATGATCCTCAACCCTGGGACACCCTCCCACCCTTCGTGTCCATCATATGGAATAGTTGTGCCTCTAGATGGGCGCACTAGACTTGAGGCCTATTCTGACAGATGCTCCTATGAAGGGACAACCCTGCCAAACAGGGAGAGCCCTGGAGCAGTGGAAAGTCAGACAGCGTTCTAGGGTAGTGCATATGCACAGACCAGGCTGAGCAAGGAGGTGAGAGAGCTTAAGGGGATCTCCGCTGGAGAAGAGGCCCTGGCTGGCAAGTGACCCTGACCATGGCCCGGCAGCCACTACCCTCTTCTGGCACACAGGCTGGGTAACAGGGCAGACCCTTCCCACATTGGGCAAGTGGCCAGCCAGTCCCACTTCAAGTCTCTCTCCACCCTGCTGCAGGCTCTCCCCACTGCTTCCTGCCGCAGGGAACTGCAGGGCCGGCTGCCAATGTGTTATTGCCCTGCCCTGGGCCCAGGGGACAGCAGTGGATCAAACCAGCACAGGTGCCTGCCCTGCCCAAGCTTCCAGTGTGGGAGAAGTGGGGAGACGGAAGTCACAGGGGCTGCCACATCATTGCCCTCAAGGCAGAAGCTCAGAGAGAGACACGAGAGCCAGATGGGGCCCTGATCTGGCTGGCATTAGGGCAAAGGCTGTTTTCAATTCTTGGGAACTCCACCCACCTTGCCAGCCCATGCCCTGGCCACTTACTGATCAGTAACGGCTTCATCTACTTTGCAGTTTTGATTTTGGGGCAGTGTGCCCAGTGCCCTGCGGCAGGGCCACCATGCCAGCCTCGGCCGGTCCCAAGCTGCCTGCAGAGCCAAGCAACAGGCCACCAGCAGCTAGCAATAGTGAGAGGCCACAGCCTCCCCAGGGTTCTGGGGATGGTGCTCCTGACCAGCTAAATGGGAGCCCTCCCATTCCACACCCTCTT